CTCTCCCTTTCCCTTTCCCTTCCTTCTACTCTTTCTTAAAAAAAAAAATCAATGGAAAAATACCCTCGGGTAAGAATTAACAACAACAACAACAAAAGTCTCCTGGTGTATTTGTTTCTAACTCTGCGTTCTTTTTTCCCATCTATAAAGTGGGGATGATATACTACCTGCCTTCTAGGGTTGTTGGGGGATTGTAAGGTGCTTAGAACAGCGTCTAGTACATAAGTAGGTGCTGCTGCCGTGATCATATCATCATCATCATCATCATCATCATTAGCATTATGATCATTAGGAAGCGAGGCAGGAGGCCCTTTCTCCTTTGGGTCAATTCCAGTCTTGTCTTAGTTGCTGTAACTCACTATGTGGCTTTGGACAAATGAGTTCGTTCTTATAGTATATTCTAGGTTTTCCATTTATTTGTTGAATGTTCCAATGAATTAGGAGAGGCAACTAAATGTTCTTTAGGGTCCTTTCTGGTTTCAAATATAAGATTTTGTGTGGCATTGATTCTGAGAAGAAAGCTGAAGGAGCAATGAGGAAAGAGGTGAGAAACCACTTGCAGAGGGAGTGATGTCAGGGGTCAAAGGTCTGGAGCAGTCTGGAGAGGGGATAGGTCATCAGGAGGAGGTGGAAGGTGTCCAGTTAGTTCCACTTAGCACATAAGTCTAGCCAAGGCTTAAGAAAGGAATGTTGATGACTCTGACCTGGGAGTAATACTTTGCAGAACCTGTTCCCTGGGCAGGGTTAAAGGGGTCAGAGGGCAAGGGTGTGTAGCTAAGAACAGGTGGAAATGGCTACCTTTGGTTGTTGTGGCATATTTCTTGGAGAAGAACTGCAGAGTAGCCTCATATTCCCTGGATTTTTCTTCTCTGAGGACGCCATTCCCAGCGGCAAGGAGAATGAGGATTTCTGACCTCCCGAACTGGGGGGGGGAGTTCGCAGTGGCCCAGCAGGCCGACCCTAATGCTGTGTTTCTCCCTCCCTCCTCAGGTCTGAACGCTGGGGCGTTTTATGCCTTGTCCACTCTGCTGAATCGCATGGTGATCTTGCACTATCCGGTAAGGGCGTCCCCTAAGCTTGCTGGCCCCCAGAGAGGAGGCTTCTGAGTGTTTCCCGGCAGGCGCTGGGGTAGTGGTTGACCCTTGGACTGCCCACTTGTAGGCAGCGTGGCACAGTGGTGTGCTCATGAGATTTGGAGAGTCTCAACCCCAGCTCTGGTGGCACCAAACCGTGTGACAAGCTAGTTAGTGTCTCTGAGCTCTCACTCTCTTTTCTGCAAAAGAAGCATAATTACTTATTAAAAGATTTTTTTTAGGATTAGAGAGTAAATAATACTGTGTGTGCCTATGTATATATTCATATATGTTATATATTCATAAAGTGCAAAGCATGGCTCCTGGCAACACAGTAGGTAAACATATATATTTCGAGTCATGTCTGAAATGTTTAATTTGTAATATAAGGGCAAGACTTAATTTTGAACTCTTAGCTACTCAGCTGAAGGTATTGTTTAAACATTTCCAGAACCAGTGAGGGCTCGATGCTGGGAATGGGACACTGGGTGTCCTGGAGTCAGGAATCTCAGGTCCAGCCTTCTTGTGAAAGGACCAGGGTCTCACAGTTGCAGAGGTGGTCACTGTTGCTAAGTGTTCCAGTTTTGGAGTTTGACAGGTCTGAGTTCAAATCCTAGCTCTGCACTTAATAGATGCCTCATGATCTTGGATTGATAGGTGAATCTCGCTGTGCCTCAGTCTCTTCATCTGAAAAATGTGGAATACGGATTCCTAACCTTATGGTGGGGAATTAGGAGAATTAAATGAGGTAATGGTGTAAAACTCGCGGCATGGTGCCTGGCTCATAATAATAAAGGCTTACAAATATATAATTTTTTTGCCATTTCTTTTGACACTGATAGCTTCAAAAACCTAAGTATGGGGTATTTGGATATACATATTTCAGTTTCCCTATCTGTGAGATGGAAATAATGGTAAATAAGTTAAAAGAGTTGCTATAAGAATTACATTAAAAAAATAAATCTACCTCAACGTGGTTCTAAGGATAAAATTTGGTTCACTCCAGCATCCAGTATCATGCACACGCATCTGGGGTTATATTATGTTGAGAGGAGCAACTGTTTTAGGATTTTCTCCCCATTGGCAGCTTCCCACCCACTGTCTCTCCCTGATATATTCTGAGAACTGGCTCTAATGGAACCTGAGGCCCTTGCCTTTGCCCCTTCACCTCATGTTGACTGTGCTGTGTGTGTCTTGTCCTGTCACTGGCTGATCTTTGGGGGCTGTGGTTTTCTTTCCCAGGGGGAAGAAGTGAATGCTGGAAGAATAGGCCTGACCATTGTCATTGCAGGAATGTTCGGGGCTATGATCTCAGGCATCTGGCTGGATAGGTCCAAAACCTACAAGTAAGTGACTCTTCCTCTCGGACTGAAAACTGGGGGACTCATTTTTGAAATGACATGCTCATTAGCAATACAGCTCCAGAGTTTTGGGTGCGACAGCTGAGTGGTCAAGTGGGCAGTTCAAATTTATCTTCTCTGAGCTTCAGTTTCCTCATTTATAAAACGAGGGAAATAATACCTGCCCTGTGGAGATTTAGAGATAAAGGACACGAGGCCTAGCGCAATACCACCTTCCCCCCTCTCCCCGCAAGTAGTTATGGAAAGGGCAGATGGGAGAGAAATGAAAATGAATGTAGAAAAATGTCAGCAGTCGGTAAGTTTGTGGAAACCCTAAAGAGTGGAGATGAGGGGGTGATTCCACTGGCCTGTTCTCATGGCTCCCTTGGACCCCATGGGTTTACCCACCGTGCTCTGTGCTTACTTTGGTTTATAGTGTATTATCATCCAATTGCTTATACTCTACCTTCTTGGTAAATATTGTGATGTGCTTTGGGTCTGAATGCCCAGAGCATTTCTAAGAGCCCAGAGTGGTCATTCTAAGATTTTAGTATATGTTAGGCTAATCCAAGATGCTTATTAAAAATACAGACTCCTGGGCTCCACTGTCATGGATGCCAATTCAGTAGGGGAATCTGCATTTGCTTCAGTCTGCATTTGTCTCACGTTGCCTCAATTCGGTAGCCAGGCTCAGAGAAAAGACTGGAAGAAACAGAGGTCCAACAGCCTTCTTTTTTTTTTTAATTGACTTTTTTAGAGAGAGAGAGGAAGGGAGAGAGAGAAACATCAATTTGTTGTTCCACCCAGTTACACATTCATTAGTTGATTTTTGTTATATGCCCTGACCAGGGATCAAACCCACAACCTTGGGGCGTAGGGATGACACTCTAACCAACTGAGTTACCCTGCCAGGGTCATCCTTCTCTTCTTACTGCATCTCTTCAGTGCTCTGCATGCATTGGGTGCTCAATTAATGCTGGCCAGCCAGGGTTGCCCTGCGCTGGGGCAGAGCGGCATTCTGGGCTGCTTTGTCAAGGTCTTCAAAGTTCCCAGTGTCTGGAGGCGCTGCACAGTGGCAGACCTGTTCTCTGCCACACAAACCCACTTCTGTGAGGCTTTGGTGAGACCAGAGCTCACTGTGGCTGCCCTAGTCAAAGGCCAATTGAGGCCATCCCCGGGGGTGTGGCTGCCTGGTTGAACATGACGAGGGACCTGGTGTGGCTTAATTAACTGCTGGAGCTTGGCTGCCCTCTTGTCTCTGTCATCCGTCAGTTGCTTGCTTCAGCCACACATGAGAGCAGTGAAGCCTGGCCTTCCCCAAACCCGTGAACGGCACTGTTTCTGTTTCCAGGGCTTGCTTGGTGGCAGGCGAAGGAGGGATTGGAATGTCAGTAGGCTGGATTGTGGGCAGCAGATGACTCAGATGAAAATACAGTGAAAGGGCTGGGGGGACACACGTCAGAACCTAGATGTCACCAGTTCCTTAGTGTCACTTGATGCCCAGGTCCTGCAGTCAGCGCAAGACATTCCCTGCACTACTACCCAGGAAAAACGACATGCAAAAACTGTGATCTGGTCTTTGGGTGCTGGTTCTTTTCTCCCCAAGGCCCCCAGATTTCTCCTGTCTGGTCTGGGGGCTGGAAATTGGGTGGTCAGGCCTGTTTATCTCAGGCTGGGACTATAGGCAGTTTTTCTAGATGGATCAGTGGTTGAAGATGAAGCTGTGGTTGAACGAATCTGGTGAAAGATGAGCTGGCGGGGTCAGCAGGACAGAATGGTGTTCATGAGGTGGCATTCTGGGTGTGGGCCGGACTAGATGAGGGGGGGCGGGTGGAGGAAGGACAAGGTTCCTCTTCCGGCAGCAGCTTTGAAGCCCCGGCTGGCAGGCGTGTCCTTCAGAGGCTCTGGCCTTGAGCTTTCCCAGAGCTGCAACCACACGGTGTATTAGTATCCTCTGTGCAATAGTGGAAAGAGTGCAGGGTTCCAATCCCAACTTCGTGTTCAAGCCCCAACTCTGCATTTACTCAGTGGGTGACTTTAGACAAGTAACCTAACTAGTCTGAGCCTCGGTTTCCTCATTTGTCAAAGTAGGGACAGTCAAACATTTCTCTCAGGCCTTTTATAATGGTTGAGTGGAATAATCAGTGAATGTAAAATGCTTATCAGCATTCCTGGCACCCAGTAGCTATAGGTATTAGTTTGACATTACCATAATATACATCTGCTGATGTCCCCACCATGTTTCTGGCCTCTGGGGAGCTGTGTGAAGGCTTTAAACTGTCATTGTCTCAGACCCGATGTTCAGGGCAGGAGGGAAGAGGTGTGTGCAGAGCCGGTTCCTTGAAATAAGTAAGGCAAGGAAAGAAATGCAGGTCTGAGCAGGAGTCAGGGCCCCAGCACAATCCAGAGTCGGCACCATGGGAGAAGTATGGGGAGGGGCACAAGCTGGGTGAGCCTGAAGCAAACCAGCTCATTGCTGATGGTCCTGAGGGGACTGACAAAGGGAAATCTGACAGGGAGTGGGCAGAGCTTTCTTTTTTTTGTTTTGTTATATGGTTTTATTGATTTCAGAGAGAGGAAGGGAGAGTGGGAGAGAGAAACACCAATGATGAGAGGCGTTGATTGACTGCCTCCTGCACGCCCCCTACTGGGGATTGAGCCTGCAACACAGGCATGTGTCCTGACCGGGAATCGAACCATGATCTCCTGGATCATAGGTCAAGGCTCAACCACTGAGCCACGCCAGGCAGGCGGGCAGAGCTTTCTTATTTTGGTGTCACTTTTAGTTCAGGGCTGGAGAATGTTCCTTCTTAGTTCCTGCTGTCTGGAGTAGTTCAGCTTTAGCAGGAAAACCTATGCTGCACCTGTGCAAGTGGCAGAAGGAAGACCGTAGGGATGACAGAGAGAATCTAAAAGTCAGATCACTTCTCAGCATTGTGTATGTTAAAAAAATATATCTTTATTGATTTCAGAGAGAGGAAAGGAGAGGGAGAGAGAGATAGAAACATCAATGATGAGAGAGTCATTGATCGAGCCCACAACCTGGGCATGTGCCCTGACCGAGAATCGAACCCCGATCACCTGGATCCTAGGTTGACGCTCAACCGCTGAGCCACGCCCGGCCGGGCACTTCTCAGCATTGTCATGGGCTCTTGGGCAAGGCAGACATGCAGAATTGGGTTGCTTCCGGGGTAGCCCTCACACTGATGTTTCTCCTGTTTATTTTTTGTGGGGGATGAGGAGAGTGAAGGGCTGTGCCCTTCTTGCTGTGGGTAGGAACTGATAAGTCCAAGTGCAGCTTGATATTGTTGAAAGGGTTCTGCAGGAGGAAAGCACACATCCAGCAAGATGGCTTCATACTCTCCTGATCTTACCCTTTGTAGCAGTGACACATGCAATTAAATAATTATCTGTTTTATCATTGGTTCGGTGTCCATCAACCTCATGGACAGAAAGTCCTGTGAAAGCAGATGGCTAACACACAGCAGAGGGCTTGACACACAGCAGCTGCCTGATAGATACATGTAGAATGAATGAATGAATGCAGGTTCCTGATAGATACTTGTAGAATGAATGAATGAATGAATGAATGAATGAATGAATGAATGAATGAATGCCGGTGCCTGATACTTGTAGAATGAATGAATGAGTGAATGAATGTAGATGCCTGATAGATACTTGTAGAATGAATGAATGAACAAACGAATGAGTGAACAAATGATCCTGTTAAGTCAGATGTGTAAGTCAAACTTTTTGTCTCTGCTTGTAGGGAGACAACTCTGGTGGTCTATGTCATGACTGTGGTGGGCATGGTGGTGTACACAATGACCTTGAGCCTGGGGCACCTGTGGGTAGTGTTCATCACCGCTGGCACAATGGGGTAAGTGTCACCTCTAACATGTTTAACTGGAAAGCACCATCCCATGGATCCTAGGGCAGCTGACATTCCAGGATGTACTATTGATCCCTTTGCTGCCTTCTCACTGACCTTTGTGGAGATGTGGAAGTGACGCCCAGAGGTCTTGTTTACCGGTAGCACTTCTGAAGCCCACCTGTGCTGTTGGGATGCAGTGTGTTCTTCACAGACCTCTGGGAGGCTGGGAGATGTTTAGTCGTTTTTAGCCCTGCCTAGGACACCATGGGCCATGGAAAGTCTGAGTCCTGGTCTCAGCTCTGCTGCTGTCTGGTAGACCTCAGGCATGCCACTTAACAGCTCAGAGCCTCCATCTCCTCTTGTATAAATGAAGATAAGTGGCCTGCCTTGTAGTGTCATTGGAATGATTGAGAGAGATAACAGACAGGTAAGTGGCAAGAAGTGTGTTGCAGATGTAAGGAATTAGAATTGGAATTTTCTAGACCTGTTGTATGAGAAAGCATAGGAAACAGGACCCCTTCCACAGGGGTCTCTGCTCAGCTTCACCTCCCAATTATTTACTGTGGGTAGTACATGAGCGTGTGTGTGTGTGTGTGTGAGAGAGAGAGAGAGAGAGAGAGAGAGAGAGAGAGACACTCAGACCTTCTCAGTGGGTGACTCTCTGGGGGAAATAAGGAGGACTTTGAGCCCTTTCTTCCAGGTCCCACAGAGTCATGTAGATGCTATTCAATATCCATGGACTTCCCACTCCTAGCGTAGGGCCTGTGTATCCATGGCACAGAGTCTCAGCTGAGGGCTGAATATGCCAGGCATCCCCACCCTTCTGTAAATGCCAAGTTTATTTGCAACTGATGGCTGGACATAGAAGAAGCAGGGCTTTTCGAGTACAAAGACCTCCTGAGTACAAAGCCTACCTATGATCTTCCTGGTCTGGAGGGATCTCTCTTTCCTTGGTATGGCCACCGAAGGGGTGGCTTGATCATTCAAGGGCCTGGCATGTCTTGATGGATAGAAAAAACCTGGAAAAGGAATTCTGAAGGAGGAGGGAGGCTCTCCATCCTTGTCTGCAAGTTCTCCATCACCTTGTTTCTGTGACCTGGCCTTCAGGTTCTTTATGACTGGCTATCTCCCCCTGGGATTTGAGTTTGCTGTGGAGCTGACGTACCCAGAATCAGAAGGCATATCATCTGGCCTCCTCAACGTGTCTGCCCAGGTAGGTCTTATTTGGTAGTGGCCTTACGGCAGTGGTTCTTTGTTCCCTGCCCTGCTTGGCTGGCGTAGGCATTGCATTATGGTAGCTCAGCTCTACTGTGGACTAGTTGGCTGGGCCCTTGTCCCCAGTCTTCTTTGTACCTTTCCAGGTATTTGGGATCATCTTCACCATCTCCCAGGGGCAGATTATCGACAGCTATGGAACCAAGCCTGGGAACATCTTCCTGTGTGTGTTCCTCGCGCTTGGAGCAGTCCTCACTGGTGAGTTGGGGCCTCAGGACAAGATGAGGCTCAGGCTGCTCATGAGCTTAAGCAGTTTGGGACCCAGTGTCTCGATCTACTCTACAGATCAGGGGTTGTCAGAACAGAGGGGAGAGCTTGTCAGGAAATCTGTTTGGGAGGCAGTAACATGTTTTGGTGGAATGAGTATGGGCTTTGGAGATAAAAGACCCTCATTTGAATACCAGAATGTGACACTGACCTTCATAGCTATTTGACCTTGGGCAAGTGGACCAACCTCTGGGAGCCTCAGTTTCCTAATCTGTAAAATGGGGATTATTGTGAGGATTAGAGCAATGCATGCCAACTCTCTAGCAAATGTAAGTGATCTATAAGGCCACTGTCATTGGCTTCTGCCTGTCAGGGACAGCAGTGATCTCCAGGCTTTATCAGGTTGGGTGTCAGTGTGCCCCTAGCTTCCTGGAATATCTGAAGTAGGTCTGGGATCCTTGTGACCCTTAGGAAAATTAGGGCTCCCTCTCTTGGATGAACTTGAACATTGGTCAGCTCGATAACTCTGTGTCTCTGTTGCTCTTCCTTCTCGGTCCCTTGACCTCAGCATTCATCAAGGCAGATCTGCGAAGGCAAAAAGCAAACAGAGAGACTCCTGAGGATGTATGTATGCGGAAGCTTTCTGGGCTGAAATTTGGGTCCCAGGCTGAGGATGCCGCAGCATGGGTGGGGCGGGGAGCTCCCAGAGCACACTGGTGTTGTGGGGCCTGTGAGACCAGCTCCGCTCTTGCGAACGTGGCACCCAGAGTTCCCCCAGTGGCTGGTCACACTGCTTTTCCTCTGCTCTTTCCTGGGCTCTTCTCCAGCTTCCTCCTCTTCCCTTGGCCTTCCTGCTTGGGTCCTTAGAGTGTGTCACGATTGCCACAGTCTGCTGAGCAGCACCCACCCCTTGGATCCTGAGCCCAGTTCTGAGACGCTGGCTCAGCTGCCTTCAGCCTGGGGTCAGTGGCTGGAGAGGAAAGGTGGGAGCTTGGCTGTCATTCTGTCATGGCGGTGGTGGCCCTAAGGCAGTGGCTGTCCTGGCATGTGACAGCCCCTCCCTTAGGCAGTGCCATGGGTATAGAAGGACTGGAGCCAATGGATAGCCAGTAGGGCCCTGAAAGGATAAGTCAGGAAGCAGGAGCTGATGGGGGCAGAAGGGGAGAGAACCAGGAGTGTGATCTGTTCTAATCAGCTGGGAATCATTTTAACCAAAACGGCAGGTGCCAAATCTGAGCCAGGATGAAAGGAACTGCAGATTTGAGAAGGAGTGAAAGTGAGGTATTTTTAAACTAAACAATAAAACAAAACTCCTAAAACTTAGTACAGAGGTAATATACGTTCTTTATAAAAAAATGAAAAAAACAACAGAGAAGCGTAGAAAATTTAAAAATCATCCTGTAATCCAGTCATCTGGAGGTGAGATATTGCTTTTTGGCACTGGCTTATACATGCCCATATCCCCATATAATATATATGTGTGTGCGTGTATATATGTGTGTGTATATGTATATGTACACACATATATATTTTGTTTTTAAACAAAAATAGAATCTTGTTCTATCTGCGTTTTTACCTGTTGCTCATTAATCCTTTACAACATACTTTTAATGACTGCACAGTGTTCTGGTAGGTGGGTAAATCATAATTTGTTTAACAGTCTTCCTGTCCGTGGACATTAAGGTTGTTTGCAATTGTTTTAAATCACATTGTCCTGGACACTGAATCTCTGAGCATGTCCTGAAGCACAGTGTTTCCTTGAGAACGGGTCAGTGGTCACGCACATTGTGAAGACCTTGGTGTATACCGCTAAACCGTCCTCCGGAAAAGGTGCTGTTGGCACTGCCACCCTATAGCGCTAAAGCAGTCGGCCTATGAGTGCCAACACTGACTGTTTATCTGTTTGAAAACTGCCCATTTTTTAAGGAAAGAGTGGTATCTGAAAGAGATATATTTAGCATTTTAAGGATATGGTTTGACAGACAGATGATAATCTTCTGTACTTTCCTATTTGTCTTCTGATTTCACACTCTATAGTTGGCAGTGGCATGTGGAGGGAGGAGCTAGGATCAGGAATTCGCTGGGGAAACGGAAAGCTTAGGGCGGGAATGCTCTTCTCTAGGCTGGCCGAGGACCATGGCATTGCCACTGTGGGGATGGGCTTCCACCTGTGCCACGCACAAGGAAACAGGGATTTGGATCACTTTGGTGAATATAGAAAGAGCCTGGGAAAAGGTGCCTGGAATAAAACAGAATAGGTTTTTTGTGAAGAGGTTTCCATTTGGAATGTCACATACTGTGTCAAGTGATATGAGATTGTGCCATGTTTACTTGATAACGCAAAGAAGAAGAAAGTAAAGGTTGCCTCTACTCCTAGCACCCGGAGATAACCCAGTAACATTTTAGTCCACTTGCATTGTTGTCTTCTACGGGAATGCTTGTGCGCATTTGGTTTTCTGCCCTGCTTGTTTCCTTAATACAGCTTGACAACCTTTCCGCACCGACATTCTGTAACCTCACATCTACACACACACACACACACACACATTTCCATTTCCCCTTGTTGGATATTTAGGTGGTTCCAATATTTCACTATTCTTGAACCAGAGCCTTGTGCACGTGGACCAGGTTTGTCATACAAGGTTGGAGTTGCTGGCTCAGTCCCCTTCTGTTTGGAGTATTGGAAACAGCACTGAGTAGGAACAGGAGACAAGTCTGGTGATGGTTCTCAACTGTCTGTGTCCCTGGATAAGTCACCATGCATCGCTGGACCTCACTTGCATCTGGGCAGCTTGGGGTTATGGGAGGTCAGAGCCATGTTGGGCTTGACACCCAAGGAAGCCGGGGTTGCCACAGAGCGCCCCTTCTCTGGAGCCCGCTATGGTGGTCAGTGTAAGTGAGACCTGCACGTTAACACACACATTCATTATCAGAACCGGTAAAGACAGGGCACCCGGCAGATCTTGCTGGAAGTGCTCTTTCTGATCAGTGAGGTGTATATTTTTGGTAAAAAGAGACAGAACTTATGGGATAGGGGTAACGACCGACTTTGACTATGAAAATCTTGGTTTGGGTTTCCATTTTTCTTCCAGTTGGAAGGGTGGCTATGCTTCCATTCCCACTAATTTGTGTTTCTATGATTTCAAGGTGATGGCTCTGGAAGAGGCAGGTGTTTGTGTGCCTGTGTGTGCGCGTGCACATGTGTGCCAGAGAGAAAGACTGATTGACTTAAATTGCCTGAATAAAGGCATCTCGTGACTGAGGCTAACCCGGAGCCAAAAGTTAGCAAGATTGAGAATGGGAAAGTTGGATTTCCACAGCTGTTGCCACTGCCATGGACTGGCCCAGAGACACTCCCTGGGGAAACACCACCATGTGTCTGATTGACACGGAGCTCTAGCTTGGCCCTGCACACACTCCGCCAGCCCTTGAGTGGTGTTGGCGGTGCAGTGCCCAAGGCCTTCTCCCTAACTAGATGAACCCTTGAGCTAAGAAGCAAAGTGCTCCTTAAAATAGCAAATGTCCAAGGTGGCAGTATGCAACTATTATCCCCATAGGATAATTTCCAGGCCGCATTTAATTCCAAATCCACCTAGCAAGTGTGACCCAGAAGACTCTTCTACTCCTGTGCCATCTCTTCCCAGGGAGCCAAAGCCAAACCAACCCAAAGTCTCTTTTTCCAGGCATAAAGTATATATACATATTTTTAGTCATTAAGTTTATATATGCAGCTATGCATCCTGCCTGTATAAACATCTTCTGACATCCATCCCATGCACATTATAATAACATCCCTCATTCTGGGGGCTGCCTCCAAATGGGGGTATTCAGAAATTTGGAGGGAGTTGCAGATATGGCATGCTTGATGATTAGCGCCCTTGGTTTTTAGGCTGTCAGATTGCAGAGGGAGCATGAGGGGACAACAGTGGCACTTGGAGTGCGATGGTTTGTGGTGATTATGGCATCACAGAAAGCTGGCCTTTTTGGTTTTTCCTCTGATGACATTGTGATTGCGGTGTGTGTGTGTGTGTGTGTGTGTGTGTGTGTGTAGCACACTTGAGCCAGGGGCTGACACTCTTTTCTTGTTCCCTTTGTTCACTCTGGAAGATATGGGTGGCCTCTGGCTCTTGTTTTTCCCGCTGATTATGGAGCACTGCCTGGCAGTCGCTCTGGCCAGGGCAGAGTCCTGCGCCACTTCACCTAAAGGCTGCCTACTTGTTTTCCTTGTAGAAACTTGAGGATGAAGAGGAGAAGGAGGAGAGGGTTATCAGCAAAGCGCCCACCACTGTGTCTGAGGAGCATCTCTGAGAAAGGTGGCTGTGACTCAGGGACACGGAGAACACCCCCACCTCTTCAGTCAGCACAGCTCACTGCCAGCACCAAGGTCTTCGCAGGGGCAGCTTTTGGAGGGAACCGGCTGGAATATTTGTAGCTTGGACAGCAGTGCCTATGCTTCTGGAACCCACTCAAGAGCTTGCACGGTCTAGTTGGGGAAAATCGCACCTTTCACCAAATGCAGATTCGATTCCCGCCCCCTCCCCTTTTAGGTTCTGGGAGCTGGTGTTGGGAGAGGCTGTTGGGTAGTGAAGTCAGTCCTGGCTTTGCACCTTGCCTTCCCTCTTCACCTCCATCCCTCACGGAGAAAGCCTGCAAAATTATCATGGAAAGAAATCTTATTCAGGATATTAACTTTTACTAGTGTCTTAAGACCCAGTTCTGAGGAGCGGCAGCTGCACTGGATGAAGGTCATCCGACTGACTGCTGACATTCTGTGGGAGAGAGAGCACCATTGGAACAAACCCACAGGTCCTCTGGACCTAGGTCCTCTTGGCCAAAAGTTGGGGGCTGACTCCAAACCCTCTTTCCTAAGAGCTGATCAAACCTAACATCAATAAACTTGAGAAAGACTTCATTGTAGCCATGAAGAAGAAACTGATTGGGGAGAGGTAACCACCTGGGTGTGTGGGTGCTGGGGGCTACCTTCTGAGTGTGTTTGTGAAGGCCCACATTGGGGAACTTGGGTAGCTGCATTTGGGAATGGGGAGGTTCTTTCCTACAAAAGAAGTCCTTGCCCAGAGATTCTGTGAGTCATAGTCACCTCTGATGCCTTCAGATGGACACTGCCTTGAGGAACAGGGTGCTTGTTTTCTCTGGAGAGAGGGGATACCGGCCATCTTCCTATAACCGATCCTGAGAAATCCAAAGCTGCTTCTGAGATGAGAGGCCACATTTGGCTTTTGAAATGGGAATTGAGCCCACTTAAATTAAGGGTATCCCACCTCTGGTGGGGACAGTATTTGCACACCTACCCCCTTCTAGCAATAACCTTTTATCAGGTATTCTGAATTTTAAGGGATTCCCTTTAAGCCAACCCAGGCTAACCTCCTCTCCTGCTGAACCTGCTGTCTGGCTCTACTCATAGGCTTGGGTGGGTAGTGTCTCCTGAAAATAAGACATTTTGGTAATTTCTTCTGTACATTGAGCAGCTGCAATCATGACCACTGTTTTGTTTTGCTGTGGCTACTGCCCTGGACTCAGCATATGAAGTAGCCTGTGCAGGCGACAGTGCTGGGATGCTTGGGCCACTGCCAGAGAAGCCAGGGGTGCATGTGTGTACAGACACTGTTTAGGTGGGGGGAATAAGTTAGGGATGAAAGAGAATGTATGCCTTACCTTAAAAAAAAAAAATTTTTTTTTAAAATAAATCCTTACCTGAGGATATGTTTTTATTGATTTTTAGAGAAAGGGGAAGGGAGGGAGAGAGAGCAAGAAAGATACATTGATTGGTTGCCTCCCATACGCACCTTGACCCGGGATCCAGCCCATAACCTAGGTATGGATCCTGACCGGGAATCGAACCCACCACCTTTTGGTGTACAGGACAACACTCCAACCGAGCCACCTGGCCTTACTTTTTTTAAATCCACCAATGGATATTTTTTCCATTGATTTTTAGAGAGAGAGTGGGAGGGAGGGAGGAAGGGGGGGGAAGAGAGAAACATCAATGTGAGAGAGACACATTGATTGGTTGCTTCCCCCACAAGCCTGACCAGGGCCATGGATCAAACCCATTTTAATGTGCCCTTGACTGGGAATCGAACCCTTCGGTCCACAGGCCGATGCTGTAACCACTGAGCCAAGCTGACCAGGGCCCGGCCTTGCTTTTTGATAAGGAGAAAGGGTTTACTCTTTATTCCCTTAAAATGTATTAACAAAATGTTTACCAAATCCATTGCTTTATTTTAAAACATAATTTTTATTTTCTATTTGTAAACCAGATGTTTTAAAGCAATAAAAGATTTTTCAAGTGGTCTGCCTTGTCATTTGATGGGGCAGAGATGGCTTTTTGGGAGTCCCTGTGAGATTATTGCACATTTCTGAGGGCTGGAGGGGTGCGGTGAGGGTGTTGGGGCTGGAGGAGCAGCTCCGGTGACCTTCCATGGAAGTGGTCGTCTGTTTACATAGGTGTTAACCATCCTAGTGGGTGATTATTATTACTTTTTTAAATCCTCACCTGAGGATATTTTTTCCATTGCTTTTCAGAGAGAGTAGAGGAAGGGGGGGAGAGAGAAATATCAATGTGAGAGAGACACATTGACTGGTTGCCTCCTGCATGGGCCCTGACCAGGGGCAGGGAGTGAACCCATAACCCAGGTACGTGCTCTTGACCAGGAATTGAAACCCCTACCCTTCGGTGCTCAGGCTGACACTCTAACCACTGAGCCACACTGGCTAGGGCCTAATGGGCTTTTTTTTTTTTGAAGATGAGGCTGTAAAGGTTACTGTTGGCCTACGTGGGAGACTGCAACTCAATGTCCAACACATGACCCTGAGTACATGTACTGAGTACACATGAAGGTTCACCTGGGAGTGAGTGCTGATGAGAGAGCCCACTGTTTTTGGCACTGCCTCAAAGGGTCGCTGGTGTTTGTTTTATAGTCACCCCAGCCAGGCACCAGCTTGTACTGGCCAGAGGCCACAGTTCTGGCATCTGCAGTTCTGTGTTCTGATTCTTCTGAATTGTCCTCCTTACTGCCACTCCTCCCTTCCCATAAGGTCACGCACACCTTATGTCTGTTACTGGGATATGCTGCCATCAGTGTTTCATACTTGTCTTCCCTAGAGGGTCACACTGTGCCTGTGGCATTGTGGTCCCATATCTGTTAGAAATTCTACTTTAAATCACCCAGGAAGGGAGCCCAGTCTGGGCTGTTAAAGGAATCTCATAGTCAGTGTCTGCTAAATACTCTCTCTACATTATCTCTTTAGATCCTTTGGGATGTTGTCTTTAACTGGAATCATATTTCTATGATGCATGCCTAGAGGATCCAAATCATTTCATAGGTGGGTTCCACGTGGATCTCCACTCAAATGTTAACTCTCTAAGATCACTGCTTTTCTTCCCGCTTCCTTACAGAAATTGGTAAGGGAAAGGTAGTTCTTAGCACTGAGTGAAACCGCTGCAACCATTTTTGGCACCATAAAGCAAGCTGGCCTGAGGAGGAAGCCAACACAGGTAGGCAGAGCCAAAAGAGTCAGAGAGAAATGGAGCTGGGTCCTGATCAAACTGTTCCTGAAGTTTATAATCCCCTTAACTTTACAGTTTTGGGAGCCAATGTTATATTTGTTGCTTAAGCTAATTTAAGTAGATTTTTGTTCCTTTCACTTAAAGAGCCTTAACTGATAGAGAATTTTGAATGCATTTAAGTATCAACTTCAAGCTTCCTGTCATTCCAAGTCTCCTGCCTCCCTTTCAGACCTATCTGCTACTTTCTACTTCCTAACTTTTAAAATATTGAAGTTACACTGATCTTACTGCTTGAACAAGGTTGTTCCTGCCTTCCAAATGCTATTCCCTCTGCCCTAGATCCTGCCGTATATCTTAAGACACATGATACCTAGACAGTCAAGTCTCAACTAAAATCTTACCTCCTTCTTCCTGGTGATATAAGTTATGCACTCCCTTCCCCTTCTTGGTTACAATATTTATTTTCTAGAATTCTTATTACTGTCGGAGGTTGTTCTTTTTCACTTGTTGGCTTTTTTATTGTCTTATGTCCTTGGCTACAATGTAAGGACCACAGGAGTGGAGTCATTGCCTGGGTCATTTCTTTCTTTTCCCCAAGTGTCGTGCATGGAGTGTTCAATAAATACTTGTTGAAATAATGAATGGGCCCTTGAGTCTACATGCTGTGGGAGGGCGCAGCCAGAGTGGGGCCCTCGGGGCTGTGTTTGGAGGACATATCCTTGGGTTTCAGTGCTTCCCTTTTTGTCGTTGTGCAGCTGTTTCTTCTATGCTGCCTGCCTCTGTATTGTGCTTGTACTTTCTCAAGACTCTGTTTCTTCCTTAGGAAGAAAACAAGAAAGGATCCTGACTGTTCGGTTGTGACCTCAGAGTCCTGAAGGTAGGGAAGGAGAGGAGGAAGATTTGACTTCAAGGGAAATGAACAAGTGACAGAAGGAGCTGGAGGCTGCCAAGTTTGCCTGGGTTGAGTTGTATTTGTCAGCAGAAGGCTGTGATTCTCCTATGCTAGGGCTCAGAGGGCAGGAGTGCTCTTGGCTTAAGGGAGGTCAAAGTACAAGGACTGATCAGAGCAGAGGGTTTTTCTATTTATTACAAAATTCATTACACAAATACAGCTGACCAGAAGGTCTAAAAACAGCCCAGACTCTTCCAACCGTAACCCATTTGCAGCTACAAGGATATAAGCCATGCTCACTCACAAGGGAGCCCTTCTTAGAAGAACTGCCTGTTCCTCAGATGGTTCGGAGTCTTGGGTCCAGCAGCAGAGAGGAGCCCAGCATGCGTGGACAACCCCTCGAAGCAGCCCTTGGTGGCAGCTGCTCTGGGCGAGGCAGCAGCTTTAAGTTTCACAGTCCACTTGTTCCCACCACACAAGTCAAATCAAGGGATGGAAATAAAAGGAAAAAAGCTGGAGGCTTGGAAAGAGATCCTCCAAGAGGCTGCGGGCGGGGGCAGGGCACACAGTGGGCTTCTGAGGGGCTGGCAATTTCTTGATCTGGATGGAGGCACAGAGGAGTCACTTTAAAATGATTCTTTAAATTGTTCATACATTATATATTTTTCTGTATGCTTGTTATATCTTTAAAAATTTTAAATGTGATAAAACCAAAACAAAGCATAAAAGGCTCAAAGTACATAACGGGGCTGATGATGGAGCAGAAAAGAAGTGAAAGCGCAGAGAGGATGATGGCAGAAGACAGCAAAGGTGGAAGACGAAGTCTCGGAGGTGGTACTGTTGGTCTCAGTTTCTCTTCTTTTGTCTGGATACTGGTTCTGCTTCTAGGTACCGGAGCCCAACTAGCATACCCAGGATTGAGAAACCTTAAATACAGAGAGAACATTAGTGGCTGGCTGACATAAGCACAGCGCTCTCTTGTACCCCCTGTATGTCTGCCAGGGCTGGGACAGTTCCTATGGGATGTTTAGGGTGGTCGCATGCTTACTTGCCACCATCAGGGGTGCCAGGACGCCAATCGTGGGAGCTGCGGTCCCGTATACAAACAGCTCAGAGAGGAAGTGCCCCAGAGCAAGAAGGAAGGTCCAGAGCGTGATGTGGTAGAGCCTACAAGGGAGGAGACAGAAATGGGAACTGAAGTACTGCTTGTTCCATGCAGAGGAAAAGTTCTGACCAGATCCGATGCACATAAATAGAAACCCAAGAAGTGACTATGGCTGAAGGCAGAGGAGACTTGGTTCTGAGAAAGACCTGTCTGCTTGACCACATCCATTCTCTACTAGGGCAAAACTGAAGGTTTCAACTGCTAAAAGGAGAGGAGAGTGGTCCAGGCATCCAGAGTGGATCTCCAAGTCTTAAGCCAGCTATAACAAAGCAGGGTCTGCATTCATTCCGGCAATTCCAGGCAATGTGGATAATTTTGGATCAACCGTGCTACATATTCCACTTACTCAAACTGGCTTGACTGTGTAATCTGAGCCTACCTGGCAGGTGCTTGGCCAGGGGCTGGTCAGAGCTCATATGATGCCACAGGTGCCACAGAATGAAGGGCCCGAATGGGGAATGAGCAGCAAGGACCTCTCAGGGGCTTTCAGATGCTCTTGTAATGTGGGCTGGTTATTTTGTCAGCCTGGGAAAATGGTCGGATGGAGGACCTGGTGACCACCTCTTGGGAAGAGAACTTGTTCCTCAGCTTTGACAAAAAGGTGGGGCAGAGGTAGGTTACAGGATGACTGACCATCTGGATTGCTGGTATCTTTTTTTTAACTGAAATTTTCAAAAATATGAAACCTCCAAACATACAAAAAATTATAGATACTATAAGATACTATGCAACCAATATCCTGCTCCATCAGATATGAACATTTTGACATCTTTGCTTGAGATACTTTTTTCTAAGAAATGAAATGTTAGTTATCAGTTAAAGCACCCTGTGTATCCATATCCCACTGGACTCCATTCTGCTTCCCCCTCCCCCAGAAGGAACCAGTATCTTAAATTTGGTTTTCATTCTTCCTGTGCATGTTTGTATACCTTTAATAACTATGTATGTATGGGAGTTGACTTTGAGTTTCCAGTAACAGAGGGAATAGAATCAGAGTGCACATCAGAAGCACACAGACAGAAGTCCCAGGCTAAAAAAAGGTTGGAAACACAGGTCAGCATGTGCAGCTGTCCAGTACTGGGAGAAGGGGGAATGGATGAGTAATAGAGGTGAAGATAAGTCTGAGCTGTTTTTGCTCATTCCAAAAGCACAGCAAACAAAAGATGTTACTCTTTGTATCTATCAGCAATTCATCATGGTAAAGGTCTTTAAAATGATTTCTCAATCCTTACTCCCTCCCAGTCACCTGAGAGGAAGAACAGAAATACTGGTCTCATTTTATACATGAAGAGACTGAGATGCAGAGAAGGTACATAATGAACTCACTGCTACAAAGCTAGTTACTAATAGAACTGACACCAGAGCTCATTTTCTTGTTTTCATTCTCAGGCCCCAGGCTGTTTCCACTAAACTACAGTTTCCAAAAATATGCACAAATCTAGAACAAGTAAACCACAGTTTCAAGTTAAAAAAAAAAAATTAAAAATTAAGTTGGAGAGATTGCAAGGCTGACAGCGGTGCTTCAAATCCCACTTGTCAGTCTTCCTCAGATTAAATTAATTGGGTCTTTATATGTAGATCTGTAAAATCAGGAATGAAAATCATTACCTCCCCAGGCTGCTGGGAGGAGACTTAACCAAGGTCACAGAGATGAAAGCTCCAGACAAAATAAGATAAATACTATTACCTCCTCTCTTTCAAGATGCTGAGGGTCTGGATCAGACAGAAAAATATTTTAGTGTGAAGTGGTGTCCTGGTGGCCTCACCCACTGACCTGAGCAAACTTTTCCACCTTGATGTGGTGATGACTGTTGCTGGGAACAAGGCTTGAGCCCCCTCCAGTGGCCAGCACTGGCTACAGCATCCTCTAGACAAGAATGCAATGTTCCACGCAAGTCTATTTGAGTACCCTCAAGAGGCGGAATACAGAGGAGTCCTGGGTTCTCTTTCACCCTCCTCTGCATAAGCACATAGCAGTTTATTTGTAGGTTCTTTTTTTCATGGACTGTGATTTCTGTTCACTCCTGCTTAAGGAGGAATGTGAGAATAAGGTATGTGTGGGTGGCTGCTCTAAAAAGCACACTACTGTACTTTAGTAGAAGAAAGGCTGATTCTTTAGTAAAGAAGTAGGGGGTTTGATACAGGCTACTGGATCATGGCACTGGCAATTTGCTATGTCAGTTCAAAAGAATTTTCAAACCTTAAAGACCCATTAGGCCTATTATGTTTTTTTAGGCCTGGAAGGAATGGGACCTATTAACCTTTTATTATCCACATTCTAGGCTAAATGTATCAAAATTAGCAGGTCTCCAAAGGGAGGACCACAATGGATATGCGTAGCACCTAAGTTCGAACAAAAGAATGCTAAAGCTCTTCCTTCCCTTACATACGTCTTGTTGCGGATGTCGATGGCACAGAGACAGCGAATCACTGACGAGAGCAGCGTCCAGATCCCAAAGGTCCGAGCTTGGAGGCCATTCACTGTGTAACAGAAAAAAACAAGAGTGTTGAGAAGGAGAAGGTTAGGGTCCCCTCCAAACTCTTCCTACTTCATTGGTGGTTCATGGGAGGCAGAGAGCTGAGGCTGAGCTTCCTCTGGCTGGGAAGAGTGGAGGCTCTGGAGCTGCACATGGGAACTAGAAGGAATGGAAGGAATTCCAGAATGAGAACTGCTCAGCTCCTCTTCAAATGTCTACAGCTGGGCAGGGGAGTTCCAAGAGTGGAAATCTAACAGAGAGCCAACTTAGGCAAATAACTCCTGGATGTAGTTTATACCTCTGCCCTAGAAAACAGTCTGGTATTGGTGAAGCTCAGCAAGTCTGGATCAGGACAGGTTAGGGGGAATGTTGCAGAGTGGTCTGGCAATACAAGATGCCTGGGAACTCAGCAGACTTTCAAGGCTGGTGTAGGAGAGATCTCAGAAATAGTGGGATCTGTTTAGATAGTCACATCTGGTCTTTCAAAGACCTAAGTCCCTGGGTCTTCTCTGAATCCAGATCTGTATTATTTGAACAAAGCCCAAATCAAGCTGGTTTCCTGGACACATGGTAGTGGAATAAAGCACTGTTTCTTTAGTGTTTGCCAAGGCCACCCTGCTCTTGGTGGCTTTGTTCTGACACTACTGTATTAAATATCTTGTCCTGAAAGTATGGATCATATTCCACTACAACAGTAGTTCTGGACCCTGGGCATTTATTAGAATCAACTGAAAAAGTTTTATAAAATTACCAGGACCTGAGTACCAGACCAATGAAATCATACTCTCTGGAGGTGGGCCTTGGACATACGTATTTTCTAAAACCTTCTCCCTTGGTGATTGTAATGTACAGCTTTGATCTAAGGCATTCAGTGGTCGGAATGCCAAAACACTGAAAGCAAAGATACTTCATTGCTGGACTATTGAGCAAGAGAATTTCAAGGGACCAGACTGAAAACTGAAGGGTCTATTAATATTGGGCTTTTAGGTTTACCCAGCCTTTGGAAAACCAGACAGTGTTACCAATTTCACAACCCTGAAGACCTCTGGACAGTAGTAAGGTGAACAAAAATTCCATATGCGAACCAAATACCTAGCAGTTAGCCCCAGTGGGCTACATTCTTTATAAACCACCTTGATAGCTTTTCTGATGAAAAAACAGGAAATTTCTGTAGTCAATGAGATACAAAAGGGGAATATTTCACCAATCTTAGCCAGATTAGGCATCAGGTGAAATTCTACCCAAGTACCGATATGATCAGCTGAATACCATGACAGACCCCAGATCATGAGGAGGAGGCTGTCTCCACTTCTGGGCTGGAGACAGACAGACGGGGACACACACGTGCACCCACTTCTTTTGCTCAGCTCTATGCCCTTCAGCAAGTCACATGACCCCTGGGCTTCTCTGTCTCAACTTAAATTCAAAGGCTAGACCAGATAACCTCTAAAATCCTGTGAATTTATACAGGACTCAGGGACCATCTGAGGGCAGTGTTTGATGGTGAAGAAGTGGAACTGTCGTGCTCCCTTTTCCAGGTTCTTTACTCCTATTGTATTTAAGCTTTGCTCAAAATGAGCCTTAGCCTACTTAGTTCTCATACCCAGATGTTGCAGAACAATGAGCTAGGTCAGAGCCTGAATCTGGGTTAGCTATAAATGTGAACCAGGATTGTCAGCTGCTGTGAAACCGTGCTGCAGCTCCAACTACCCCACACATCAACTCGAGGAAGCCGAGCTGCAATGTGCAAACATCCTCAGCAGAGAGGCTCAGGAAACTGGGAAAGGCCGTCATGGCCTTGTCAAGTTCCACTTTGGGAGACAAACTTGGAGGGATTTGGGCTGTCTTCTCAGGGACTATGCTACGGTTTGGGAAGACCTTGGATTAGTAACTCCATTTGCAATATGGAATGGAACCATGTGTGCCATGACATGATTTCTGATGACAGCTGAGATAACATGAACAACTTCTTTACGGCTTTCTAGTGGGGCATCACAGAGTCACCAAGTAACTCTATTTCCTCATTCACCCTTGTAATGCTATTTTACAGACTAGGGCAGTGTGAAATGAACAAAAAAGTGTTCAGAGAAGCTTTGGTGGGGAAAATGGGCCAAGTGCTATCCACAAAGTTTAATCCTCTAGTAGCTGCCAAAGGCTAGATTAGGCAGCATAAGAATCACCTAGGTAGTTATTAAAAAATAGATTCCTGGGTTCCACCCAGGGGGTGAAAGTTTCAGTATGTAGGTTCGGAGAGGGAAACGGGCACCTGCACTTTCTTTGTAAGTTTCCTAGTAAGTTATTCTGATGTACAGCCTAGTCTGGGAACCACAACTTAGGCCACTCCCACAAAAGATACAGTTTTTTTGACTTCCTACCCAGGTCTGGCTTGCCGGTGTAGAGCTTTTCATAGAGAAAGGTGTGGTCTCGGAAGCTCTGTAGAGTGTTCCCCATAGCTATGATGGACACCATAACCAGCCAGCTTCGTAACACATTCAGGAAACGGCTCATGACTCCTCTCAAATCTGAGAGGGCTTCTTGCCCTGGAAATGAAGACAATGGACATGAGACAACAGATGGTTAATCTATAACCATAAGCTCTCTTACCCCTGTAGTTAACCTGTGTCCCAATCATGAGGGCTGTACTAAGCTTATTTGGTCGATCACTTCATAGATTCCTCTGCAAGTCCCCTAGGCTTACCCTCCCCAGTTACCTTAACACACTACTCTTACCTTCAGAATTAGCACACTGCCTTTGAATAGCTGACCCTAAACCAAAGTGTGCTGACCTTTACCCAGAGTGAAAAAGGCTAAATAATGCAGTAGGCAGAAATGACAAACCCAGTGGAAAAACTGGAGATTAAAAAAGAGAGCAGTAGAAGAGGAGGTATACAAATATTACTATGAACTAACAAAAGGGATTTATGTATAAGGCTTACAGAAATTGGTCTCAATATTTAGTCATACTAACAGCAGTGAATTGACAGTATACTTTACAATAAATGGCACAGTACTTTGTCTTGAGCAATTTCTCCAAGGTATTATCCTACATCAGAACTCTTTTCTCTTGGCTGAATCAGTCCTCTTATATCTTTACTTCTAGACTGTTTTTTCATGTCACTCCTTTGTACTACAAGTGGCTGAAAGGTAATTATAAATAGCTACTAAGAGATACCTGCCTGGCTATTGATGACAGATCCTTCCAAGTGCATAGAAGTATTACATATTTTAGTGGAACCAATGGTGTGAGGGCAATATTTACATCCTCAGGTTTTCTCTAATCTGGTTCTCAGGTACACCATGCTCCATAAATTAGGAGAACAATCTAAAAGTTAAAATAAACTGCTGTGACTTTAGAACTAGTAAGAAATTATATGGAGAAGGAAACAGCAATGTTGGCATTGGGTTGCAGGAGAAATTATAATAGCTAACAGTTACTGAGCATTTGTACATGCCATGCACTGTAACAAGCACCTAACATATATTGTAGACACTATTAATATTTCCATTTATATACATATTTTTATTGCTTTCAGAGAGAGGAAGGGAGAAAGAGAGAGAAACATCTATGATGAGAGAGTCATTGATCTGCTGCCTCCTGCATGACCCCTGCTGAGGATTGAGCCCACAACCGGGGCATGAGCCCTGACCAGGAATTGAACCGTAATCTCCTGGATCCTAGATGATGGTCAACCGCTAAGCCACGCCGGCCAGGCAATATTTCCATTTTACAGATGACGGTTGGCACAGGGAGGTTAAGTGATTTGCTTGAGGTCATACAGCTAATATATGGCCGAGCTGAGATATGAAGCATGGTCTGTTGGACTCTGCATTTCAATACTGCCTCAGTGTTTCAGAATATTTTGCCAAAGTTTCCATTTTTGAGGAAGACAAGCATACCATATCCTCTTTTGTCTTCACGTTGTATAGAAAATACCATTAGGTTATGAACTTAAAAAAAGAAAAAAGCTTAGATTAACCCTTGCTGAGCACCGATTTCAATTAGCTTGACTTAAACAAAACCTATGTAGATAAATAATTTAATAATGGAATTACTTCTTCCCATCTTCATTATGTTTTTTGGCCCACGGTTTATCTGCTGCCAGGTTAACTTCCTGGGCTTTGAGAGGTGACAAACTATCAGGCTTCCTTTTTCACTCTGTCAGTAAACGTTTCAGTATGGTCCTACGCTACCCAGATGAAACAGACATCTTGAGCCAAGTCAGCCATGGCTCAAGACAGGGTGAAGCACCAAAAAACAAAAAAGAACTAGAGAGGAGGAAGGATGAATAGAGGAATCCCTCCAGGAAACGTGGATCACAGAGAGGATTTTGTCCAAGTCTAGAGAGAATAGGGCTCTACTGAACATCACAAGCAGTTACAACCTGGGCGAAGATTCCCCTCAACCCATCCTCCGTATTTTCTTACCCTCCCTCAACAGGAGACTCTTCCCAGGGTCAGAAAAGCTGCATGGATGGTCCCCTCTTCTTGATAGAACTTATGCCTTTCATGTCACAGAAGCTCTTTAAAATCCCAACAGATAGCTGATGAGGGCAGAGCCTGAGCATTCTTCTGAACTGCTCTCCCAATCCCTCGACCTCATTTCCCTAAAGCTTGAGGGCCTGCTAGAGTATCCAGTATCTATTCTCAGATTTTGCCCAGGCCCTGCCCAGCAAAGGTGTGGTGTCAAAACTTGAGTCAGGAGAGAGGCGTTCCTATCTTGGCCCTACCATTTAGTAGCTGTGTGACCCTCGGCAAGTAATTTACACTTTACAGCCCCATCTGCGAATTGGAGATTTAAAAAAACACTATCAAGAATAGTCTCCTTACCTGGCGACGGGACCCCAGCCCGAAGCAGCAGCAGAGACGCTACCCCCAGCAGCTCCAGCCGGGAGTCCACCTGAGCCCCTTGTCCCCGCCCACGCCCTCACCCGGCTCCAGGATTGGGCCATTTCTGTCAGTCTTCGCTCTGGTTGGCTGTTCCGGTCCAGCTCAAGCAGGAGATGGGGCGTGAACCCCTTTACTGCCAATCAGCGGTTGCCGCTGCCCAAGTGACTGTCGGGTTACGCCGCTCACACAGTGAACCCGCCTGTTGAGCTTGGCGGAAGAACTCCGGGCTCCGATTCAACCTTTTAGAGGCGGGGGCAAAAAGCGGAGAAACTAAGTCAAGAATCTTCCGGGGAGCGCGGTTTCGGAGCCCGCGCCGCGCCGCGGTGACGACATCCGTGTGCGCCCGGAGCCGAGCGTTGTCAGCCCCGGGTGGCGGGCGCCTGCGCAGTGGCTCCGAGCGGGCGGTTGCTTGTTGGTTGTTGTAGTAACGGGGGAAGCAGCCGTCCACGGCCGCCGTGAGCCAGGCTGGGGAAGCAAGAGGGAGGTAGGCGCCGAGCGCGGTCCCCGCCTGCCCGCCCAGAGCCATGGGAAGATGAGACAGGTAAACGCCGGCGCCGGCGCGCTCCCCCAGCCGAGGGAGGTGCGCTCCCGGGTGTGGGCGGGCGGGGACCGCTGCACTTCCCTCAGAGTCCGGGAGCCGCAGTGGGTTTCCGGGCGCGCCGGGCTGAGCCTCTCCCTTCCCGCGGGGAGCATCTGCGGACCCAGCCGAGACTGGGGTGAGCCAGGGGTGGGGCTGAGGGGCTGATCCCTTTAGAGCGAGGGCGCTCCTCGGGCGAGTGTCCTTAATCTTATTCCGAATGCCCCGTCCTGCCTCTTCCCGCTCTGCAGGCAGCCTGGGACAGGTTGGCATCCCTTCCTGGTTGGAGGTTTTCATTGAAAGGACATGCCAACATTTGGGAAAGATCGAGAAATCCTATTGGGAATCCAAGGAAGAACGGCCTTGGAGGTGGTTAGATATTGCCCTTTCCGCTGAAGATCTGTAGGGATCAATATCGGGACGGCATTTTTGGTTCCTTTTATAATTTTATCGTATATGGGAATGCATAGCAAAATGAGGTTTGGAAAGATTCACATCAAGTGGTTATCTCAGAATTATGGGGTTATGGTCTTTAAATACTTTCATTTTCTTTATCTAATTTCTGTTCCTTTCTCGAATCCAACGAAGATATACTTTTACCCTATGGAAAAATTTAAAGTAAGGAATTGGAAATATCCTAATTTTAATGTCTGAGATTCAGGTCATAGTTTATGATTTTTAGCAAGGGAGAGTAATTTTTGAGTGTTTAGAAGGACCTTTCCCCCTCAGCTATTTATGACCTCAATTCAGGAGAATATGTTAATCTTTTGGTTCAGTAGTTGAATTTATGTGGAAACATGAGGGCATTTTATCTGTGTGTTTGTCAGAGAGGCTAAGTAAATATTTGTAAGGATCTTAAATTTGGACTTTTTGCTTTTAACCCAGGTGAGGTTTTTCTAGCTAGTAATCTGTGTTTCAGGCAATTCTCCTCCTACCTCAGACTTGCCTAAAAGTTAAGTAAGTCTTTCCTTTTGGTGCATGTTAGATACTGTATATAAAAGAAAAATGAGAAACTTGAACTTAATAACCGTTCTTCAGATACATAGAAGACAGACAGTATGTTTGGGGGAGAAACGACTTGAGGGGCTATGTGAGGCACTGTGATAGAAGGTAAGCTTCTGGAGGATGGGCACCATTTAGGTAAATATTCATTTTCATTACTTGGAAGATCATCAGCAATAATCAGCAAATAGACCTTACATTGTGTTTCAGATCATTTGGCTTTCCTAACAGGTATCTGTGCCACCCAAATTGTTTGATCCAGTGAATCTGCAAAGAAAGGTCTCTGAGGCCCCCGTTTGCTGACTGCATGACAAACCCTAAAGGAAATGCCAATCGTGATGGCCCGGGACCTGGAGGAAACAGCATCATCCTCAGAGGATGAGGAGGTGGTAAGCCAAGAGTAAGTAATAGCCAGCCTGCTTTTGAACCTTTGCCTCTAGGATGGAAAATAGTTCTCTCTTACTCATATACATTCTTTTACCCAATACCCTTCCTTTGGTATTGGCTCCTGGTTTTAACTCCTATCCATGATCTGATTAAATCTCTTATTATTTGATTCTTATCTGAAATTAGATAAGGCTCTGGACTTGTGAGTGAACATTGGCTCTAGATGTTCCAGGTAGTAGCTCTTAGTAAACTCCTGATCAGAGCGCCTAGCATAGGGGGTTTTGAAATGTTTAGGTAGTGAAGAAAAGTAGGTCTTTAAACACTGTGATGTTGGTTATGTTACTTTCTCAAAAACCTTTGCATTGATAGAATGATGACGCTATAGAGAGGTAAGGTGACTTACCAGAGTAAGCGTAGGGCAGGACATTAGAATGCTTTAGCCTTTGCTATAACTGTTGGAGCAACATTGCTTTCCTGAGTTTTTTGTTTTTTTCTGAGTACTTTTGTGTAAGAGTCAAAGTTCTTGATGGCTGGATTCTCATGAATATAATAAAAATATAATAAAAATATAAATGCTAGTGGCAAGTGTAGCTGCTGTAGATGATGGTAAGGGCTTTAACTACTGTATTTCATTTAACCCGAAGATGTTATTCCACTTTATTAAACTTATCCTCACAAATACAAAAGTACTTCCTCAGGGACATGTAGAGAGTAAGTGATGAGTTGAGATTCAGGCCTGGTTTTACTGATTTTTTAAGTACTTTGCTATTTTGCCCCTTTTAACCTTATTACTTCACAGAGAACAAAGAGAAAAACCGACTTATAGTTAAGATTAGTTTTTAAGATTTTCTGTAAGTCCCCTTGGATATGTGCTATATAACCTGAAAAATGGGGATAATATCTCCCAAGCTATTTTTAGGAGTATGGTTAGGACCAAACAGAGTAATGTATATGAAATTACTTTGTAAATTATAAAGTGCTGTACACATATAAGGTATTGTTCTTACTTGCTTTAATATTGAAATTAAAGTGGACTTCTTATTATAAAGAGGAAGATTTTATTATTTAATAGTATAACTTGAAAAAATTATTGAAGCATTAATAAAGCTTCAAGGAAAGGCTTCTCTTCACTGTTAGGCTGTAGAAAGTAATAGAGATTTGACATTAAATGTGGGTCATTCTCATTCAGGATAATTAAATGGACAATTCCCTCTGGCCACTTTGCCTTTTTATGACTTCTTGCTTTCTGTGTGCTGCCTCGTACCCATTTCGCAAAATTTTAACTTCTGCTCCAAGCATCAATCTTTCCAATTTCAAGATCATTCTTTTACTCCATAAATATCTCTTCTTAGTGGGCCTGACAGGTTTTAGGTTGAACTGCATGGAATTGCCATTTTGGTAGGTCAAAAACAGTCAAATATTTACAATTTCAGATGATTCAACCTAGTATTTTAGTAGGTACTCAATAAATACTTGCTGACTGACTGATTAAATAAATGTATGATTTAGATCACGTTAGATCAGACATTCTTAACCCTTTTAATGTTGTGCATCCCTTGTCAGAATAACATTTTTAAGTACTTAAATAAAATACAGATTATTAAAAAACTGCCAATTACATTGAAATCCAGTTATCAAAAGTAAAAAGAAATTACTTGTGATACAGTAATTTGTGCTTTCTTATACATTATTTTGCTTTTTTTTGTTTTTTTCTTTGCTTTTTTTGTGTTTTCTTATACATTAAATAACAAGATCATTCATTTAAAACATGGGGAAGTTTTATTTTCTAAAGACAGCAGCATGAAGACTGTTTTGCTTAGTTTGTGTAAGATCATTACACTGTGGGGTGGTCTTTGATTCGCACTTAGAAGTGGGGAATACTGGGACCATCATACCTGTCTGGACTACCAACATGAGATGTCACTATTTGGTAGATTTGGGGAGAGATGCTAAATCATCATCCAGCTTCTTCACACCAGATAAGGAAGACTGTGATAACAGGTGACCTAGTGGCAAGTTTAGTAACTAACACAACTGAGTAGTTGTAAATGTAAATGTAAATGTTGTTTTAATATACTGACATCAACTGTAAAGTGGTATAAAAAAAATCTGATTTCAGATAATGCTAATAGTGCTATGTTTTGCTGCCTATATTTATAATTGGGAAATGTTAAATTTCTAGTAGAAATTAGTGAAAATAAAGGTACAGTATCCCCTCCCCCACTGTCCCTGTTCCCCAGTCCAAATTCATGGACCTTTTACTCTCCTGTCTTTATTTTTTGTTTTGCTCTCCTTTCTTTCACACTCTCACTATTGATTTTTTTACTATTAATGTTGCTCCGTCAGCTCATGTCTTGTTTTATACATTAGGAATCTTAAGTCAATCTTGTTCACACTTACAGCAATAGGCTTACATTTAAAAAGTTTTTGGAAGTTAGGAGGCCTTAAGTTATCTAAGGAAGTTGATTTGATCCAGAGATGCACATCCATGGACATCTGTTAGATCTGCTCAGATTCCTAGGCTGTATTAAAGCATTTAATGCCTTGTAATCTGGAATTTAGGACTAGAAACTGTCCACGCAGTCCTTGTTTTGCATGGCATTATTTCATATGGTAAATGTAAAGGGGGCTCTTTTTCTAAATTTTGCTTGGGGATCCCAAATACAAATTTATATATAGATGTGGAAACTTTCATAAAAGGATTTGATGTTTCTTTTGCCACTGAAAAAATAGTGACTTTAATTTCTATAATAAAAGCTGGATCTATATCATTTGAAAAGATCACCAACATTTACATGGAAAAAATAAAAGATAATCAGCAAGTGATTGTACAGTGAGTGCTACAGGAGTTCAGAGAAAGAAGGCATCACTGAGGGATGGAGGAGCTGGGCAAGGCTCCAGGGAGTTGGTGAGGTGAGCCAGGCCTTGGAGAGCGGGATTAAAGGAAGAGAGTAGGGAAGGCATTTTCAGCAGGGGCACTGCTATTAGTAAGGAATGGGAGCTTTGAGTTATGTAGGCTGCA